ACACACTTGGCAAGCTGGGCTGCTAGAGACCATCTGGCTTAGCAGGCTGAGGCAGACTATATTTCTGAGCAGTTTCTTTTTTTAGATGACAGCAAGATGCGAAAAGTTAGGTGGCAAACCGCTTTCCCTCATTTTCAACATTGGTGTGATTTGTGCTCAGCCCTACCTTCTTCTCTCTCCCAAATGATACATGTCCATGTATCTTAGAACTAACTTCCCTCCACGGCTGCAACTGTTGCTGGCTCTGCCCTGGGCCTCACAGCTGGGATCTGGGAAAACCAAAAGAAAAGGCAGAGATGGCAGCTGGACACATCAGAGGGCTGGGCGAAGACCAGCTGTTTCCAAGGCTGACTGGGGAACTAGAAGCCTGCTAGGCGGTGGGGGATACCTGCTCCCCATGTCAGTCAACAGGAAGATGACTTTCCCCATCCAACAGATGGGTCCTGCTCCTGGAATAATGTAATAGAGCACAGTAGTAAATAAGGCACAGGCTGTATTTCTCTTGAGGAGAAGGAAGTTGAGAGATCCAGTGTTAGTTGAATTTAATCAAGAAAGCTTTCAAAGAAGAGCTGAGACTAGAAATATGCCTAAAAGATTAGCAGTACGAGGGGCCTTCAAAAAGTTCCTGGAGAAATTCCATGATCGTTTCATTTCCATTTTCCACTAACTTTTTGAATCCCCGTTGTATTTGGTTATACAGAAAGGAGGTAAGGAGACTCTGCAAGCAAGAGAAACACCTGGTGTATTAATGGGACTATGGAGTCCTGGTGTGGTGCTGTAGGATAAAGCTCTGGACTGCAAGGTCAGTTTGGACTGCAAATTAAAAAACCCTATACAGGGTCACTATGAGTTGGAATTGAGTCGACAGCACTTAACAACAACAACATGGAAAGAGAAGAGTTCATGGTAAGTCGAGGCCAGGAGAGGAAGGGCGAGGCCAGACAGATGAGCAGGTGAGATGCAGTTCTATGGGAAAGGAGAGGCACATAGCTTCTCGATAATTCAGTGGTAGAGATACAAATGCCAGTATGGGTGGTGTTTTAGAGATCACTCAATCCAACAAGCTCTCCTTTGTTGTTGTTAAGTGCTGTCCATAGTGACCCTGTATAGGGTTTCTGAGGAGTGGCTGGTGAGCTCGAACTGCTGACCTTGCAGTTCAAACCAACCTTGCAGTCTAATATATTAACCTGCAGTGCCACTCCAGGACTCAAACTCCCCATTGTTGTTGTTGTTAAGTGCTGCTGAGTCGGTTCCAACCCATAGCGACCCTGTATAGGGTATACGAGGCTGTAAATCTTTGTTGTTGTAGCTAGGTGCCATCGAGTCTGTACCGACTCATAGTGACCCTATGCACAATAGAATGGAACACTGCCGGATCCTGGGCCAACCTCACAATTTTGCCACGCTTGAGCCCACTGATGCTGCCATTTTGCCAATCCATCTCGCTGGGGGTCTTCTTTTTCTCTGAGCAAACATGATATCCTTCTCCAGTAACTGGTCCCTCCTGACAATATGTCCAAAGTATGAGAGATGAAATTTGGCCATCCTGGTCTCCAAGGAGCACTCTGGCTGCACTTCTTCCAACACAGGTCTGTTGGTTCTTTTAGTAGCCCATGGCACTTTCAATATTCTCCTCCAACATCATAACTCAAAAGCATCCATTCTTCTATGGTTGTCCTTATTCACTATCCAGCTTTCGCATGCATATGAGGTTACTGAAAATACCATGGCTTGGGTCAGGTGTACCTTAGTCCTCAAGCTGACATCCTTGCTCTTCAACACTTTAAAAAGGTCTTGTGCAGCAGATATGCCTAACGCAATACGTCGTTTGACTTCTTGACTGCTGCTTCCATGAGTGTTGATAGTTGATCCAAGAAGAATGAAGTCCCTGACAACTTTAATCTAGCTAACCTTTATTAAGTATGTCCAAATACTATGCGAAGTGCTTTATCTGCTATTTAATTATCACAACCCTATGTAATAAAAAGTTAGAATTCCACTTTACAGATACAAAAACTGAGGCTCCAAGAGGTGAACTTTTTATTAACATAAAGTCACACGATTAAAATATGTTGGAGTTACTTGATTCCAAAGGTCATGATTTTAATCTCAGAATTGCTTTCTCCAGCTATCAGATTAACAGATCACCTGGCCCACAGCTTTCCTCCTCCAGCCCATTTCTAAATAGTGCAGGGATAGCACTGAATTTCAATACAGGTCATAAAAAAGTGCCGGAAAATCTGGCCTCCTGGATTCAGTCTATTGTGAAATTAGCTTCTCTGTGCCCTGCCAGATGGAAGAGAGGGAAAAGTGCAAACCAAACCCACGTGCGTGTGCTGAGCAGCCAGCCATTGACTCCCAGCTCAGATTCTGAGGCCCATGTATCAGCTTTGCCCTTCTTGCTCTGAGGGCGTGAGTAAGGCAGCACTGCTCTAAGCCAGTTTTCTTCATAAAGAGAAGCTAAAACGAGCTGACTCCCCAGGTTACTGTGAGGAGCACATGAGCAATGTATGTAAGGCGCTAGCAGTCCCTGACAACAGTAAGGACCAGGGAATGCGGGTTACCATTATTTTATTGTTGTCATTGGCATTTTGGCATGTAGCTGTGGCCAGGGATATTTAGCCTCTGCTTTGGGTTGGGATCGGGCAGAGAGTGAATTTCCTAATGAGGGAGATCCTGGGTATCCAAAAGGTTAAGTGGTGCTCCTGGGGAGGGAAAGGGTGCCAGATTAAGGCCCCACAAGGAGCCTATCATTGGACATTGGGAGACCCAGAAGTGGTCATGGGGAAGGCCAGGAAGGGCAGCGGTGTCGGGACACATACAGGACAGGGACTAGTCTCTGTTGGGGTACAATTAGAACTCAGCCTAAGTCCAACCCATCCAGGAAGTGAAAGGGATGGATGAGGGTAACGACGCAGAGCAGAGCTTCAGCCGACCCACAGTGGACAAGCAGCCTGGCCAAGAAAGGCATTTCTGTTGTCTGTCTAGTGGGGTTGCTTGCTACTACCATATAATCTAGCCTATCCTGACAGAAATAGCCTAAAAAGTTCACTTTGATTGGGAAGTTGTTCACTTTGATTAGGAAGTATGTGGGGTTTTTTTTTGGTAGGTTAACATTCAATATAGAAAATATTGTATTTTGGGGGTAAAGGATCATTTTCAGTTATGTGAAAAATCCACCTACTCCAGTGTTGCTGGATAAATATGTCATTACCAGAACCTGAGCTGACTGAAGGAGGTGAATTCAGTTTTCAGTCTTTCTCTAGGGAGCTTCCAGGCCTCCCACTCAGGTCTTTACATGTATCTGCATTATTTGTGAGTCTGTGGGAAGAAGCTGAGTCTTCTGCTATTACAGGTAGAATTAGCTAAAACTTGCAGAGCCAGCTCCACACACATCTATCTACTCAGGGTTGGCCTGGGGTTGGTTCTGTGAGTGCTGAGGGGCTCTCGGTCCCCTTTGGGAGCTGGAAGGCCTGTGATATACCTATATGTGCTCTCCTAGAAGGAAATCCATGTGGTCAAAATATCCCCATAGCCTTTTTAAGCATAAACTGACCTTGCACTGGGCCAACAACAAGCATCCTTCCACATATCTTGGTGGATGGAAACTATATGAGTCATCTTCTCTGACCACAAAGCAATCCAGCTAGAAAACTAGCAATTATGAATAAACAGATAACTCCTATATTTAGAAAGTAAGAAGGATACTTTTAATTACTCTATGGGTTACACATCCTCTCACTTAATCCTCCTAACTATTTATAATGCAGATCTCCATGTTAGGGATTAGAAAGAGAACACAATTTCCTCAAACGTACTCAATTAGTGGTGGTGGAGTCAGAACTCAGAACAAGGCTCCATGTCTCCAGAGCCCAGGGCTCTAAAGACAGCCTCTTCTGCTACATCCCGTACATCCTTCCAAGGGTCAGTGGATCTGCTGTTTCACCTCTCGAAGAGAATAGTGATGAGAGGTAGGAGGCTAGTCTCAGCTTGTATTGCGCTTATTGTATACAGATATATTTGCCCTTTCCTCTTGCTTCCTCTGAGGCCCCCAACTTGGATTGTGGTAAAACTCTGAGTAGTGGAGAGGGGCAGTTCACACTGATGTTCACAAACAGCTCTGAACTAGATCCTAGGAAGTCTTCCTTTCCCTTTAAAGTTTTTCCCACATGGGCCCAAGTGTTAACAGAACTAAGAAAGACAGAAGGTAAAGTCATTCCCAGATGGCTCCCCATCTTGCTCTAGTGCAAATTAAATAAAAAGAATAGTCCAATGTATCATTAGGCAAACATGAGTATTAATATTATTCATATTATAAAGCACCAAAAATGGAACAGAATGGAAATGCACCCCATATTCTGACTTACACTTAGGGTTTGGGACCTCAGAGCTAGAAAACAGATAAGCAAAGAACTTTGATTCTGAGCAAGTTGGAAGCTCACCAGAACTGAAGTAGGCAAGAGCTCCTTGTTCCTAGAGCCCACTAATGGCGGCCTCCCAAGTGCTAGCTGACCAAACAGCTTTGCTCCTTTGATAAGGGCCTGTGCAAATGGCAGCTTAATACTGATAGTCTATCTTCTTCATCACAACCTACTTGTTTTAATTTCCCATGAAGATACATTTTTAGTAAAACCTTAACGACATTCATTCAGAGTATCTGAGGTACCTCTTTGTACCATAACTTCTCTCCCTGTGCTTGGAGGACAATGCTGCCTGCACCGAATACTAAGTGCCCAGTTTCATGTAATGGGAAGGCTTGAAAATAAATAGAAAATTTAAAGATGGTTCATATTCTAGAAATTTACCTAAAAAGCTCAGAACTCACCAAGTGGCTCTGGGTAAGGAGAAAGTTGGGTGAGAGGTCCTGAAGGACAGGATTTCAACTCCATTTTTTGGCTTCCTTTCTGCTATTGCAGAAGTCACATTGGCTCCAGGCAGAGGAGTAAGTTCCCTGGTTAAGTCTGTACTTCTGGGCCTCAGTGTTCCACTGGAGCTCAGCCCCACTGCTTGCTCCCCACACCATCAGGGTTCAGGCCCTAGAGAGTTAGTCTGTCAATCAGCAAGTGAGTCAAGTCCCAGCATGAGTTGAAGATCAACAAGTCCAAGATCAAAGTCCCTAATTACCCAATAAGCAATGTGATTATATCCTCTCTGTGAAGGGTCATGTTAAGCACTTCCTGGTGGAAGACTATGGGCACGCCTGGGCAGCCCTCAAATGGAACGGCAGCTTAAGTGACTTTTTGAAGCTGACCACTTGTGCCTACAGGCTGGACAGATGGTGTGGGGCCCCTGGGGTGAGTGATGGTCCAATGCCTTCAATGAGATTATTCCATTGATCATAGTTCTCCTTCAGGTCTGAATGGGAAAAAAACAGGAAGGTTAGGCAAATTGTTATTAAACCAAACACCCAAACCCACTGCCACTGAGTGCTTTTGACTCGTACTGATCCTGTAGGACAGAGTAGAACTGCTCCATAGGGTTTCTGAGGCTGTACATCTTTACGGAAGCAGACTGCCACATCTTTCTCTCATAGGGAGATTGGTGGGTTTGAACCACTGATCTTTAGGTTAGCAGCCCAATGCTGAAGCTACTGCACCACTAGGGACCCTTCTAAGGTTAGAAGAGAGTGTCCACAATGGACTTAGTGAGTTGTCCTAGGGAGAAGAGAAGAGGCCCTTGGATATGACAGGGCCTCCTGGTTATGATGGTCTGGTGGTGGTGGCAGTAATCGCATCTCCTATTCTTTCAGTGCCTTTACTTCATCCATAACAACTCAGTGATGTCTGTAATTATAGAGAGTAACACTGACTGTCACAGCTAACTGCTCTGTATGCACAGTTTCATTTCATTTTCACAACATCCCTGAGAACTAAGTGCTATTATTAACCCGGTTTTATAGTTGAGAAAACAGAGATTCAGAGAAGCTACCTGGCTTGCCCAAGATCATTACTACCGGTAAGTGGTAGACAATCTAGGTCGGAAAGGGTCAGAAAGTGGGAAGAATACGTCCAAGTTCAGAGAGAGCTGTGAAGCAAGGAGTAGTCCCTCACACTCTAGCCTAGTGGACGCAAAGCCAGTGCTCTTTAAAGAAGGGCAGAAGCAACAGGGTGGTAACACCCTGAAGCAGTTTATGACCATGTGACAGCACTGGGGTCACTGGCAGACGGGGCTAACTTTGTGGTAAGAATAGTCAGAAAGGATTCAGGGCCTCAGGCTGAGGGATCAAAGTTTGGGAAGAAGGCAGGGATCATTCTCATTTGTCTTTGGATGCCCAGTACCCTGCCAAGGGCCTGGTGTGGAACAGGCTCACAATAAATAACTGCAACATAGTCATTAACTCAAGAAACACTGAGCATACCCACTATATGACATGCTGTACTCTAAGGGCAAAGAGTTCTGGTAGCGTAGTGGTTACGAGTTGGGCTGCTAACCTCAAGGTCAGCAGTTTGAAACTACCAGCTGTTCCACAGGAGAAAGATGAGGCTTTCTGCTCCTGTAAAGATTTTTACAGCCTCAGAAACCCTATACAGGGTCACTGTGAGTTGGAACCGACTCCACAGCACACTGCTACCACCACCACCACCATTCTAAGTGCAAAAATACAGCTGAGAACAAAACAACTCAAAGTCTGTGTCTGGAGCACAGAGGCAGTAGTCCTGATGCACCAGGTACTGGTCAGACCACATCTAGCATGTCACAGTCAGGTCACGATACCACATGGCAGACAGTGCATCCAGTGGAAGGGGAAAATACATGGCACCGGCACCGCATAGGGAAGAGGTGGAGTCAGCTTACTGAATGAACAACTCAGAGACAACACCATAGGTGACTTCAAACATCTGAAGAGCTGCCATGTGCGTGCGGTCCTGGATGGCTCTTGAGACACTAATCAGCTAATCAGGACAAGTGGGAGGAGTTATAAAGTATCAGATCATCGTTTTATGTTAGTGCTCAATCAAAGCTTAGCCATCTGGACAAGCCCTAACTCCCTTCTGAAGGAAACTGCTCTACACACAGCATCTGCCTGCTGAGGGATCAGCCTCAAGTCGATAATGGCATTGCTCTCTACTCTGACTGGAGAGGGCGGGACATCTCATTAGGAGTGGGAGAGAGGAAGGATAGACCTAGGATGGACAGTGACCTACCGGTGTCTTGGCAGTTAAAGATGGACTCGTACAATCATATTCTTCTCTTGAGTATCTGGCTAAGAAAGCCAAGAGAATATGGGAACTAAAGATGAAAGGATGCCACAAGGTAGAAAAAACAAGCCAAGGAAATAATGAGGAAGCAGAAACTATGAATGGGCAGATGCTATCAGTGAGAGAAAAATCCAGAGCAGAAACAAAGAAAATTGCAGGGAGGAAAGATAGCACAAGAGGGAGAGACAGAGATGGGAGCCTATGAGACAGACGGAGAGAGATAGGTCAGTCCTGTCAAGCTGCCTTGGTTTCTAGAACTCCATCTAGTCCAAGTACATACTCATTAACAAACTCCCTTTTTAATCTTAGGTAAATTAGTGTATTTTTAGTTGTTGTAACCAAAAAAAAAAAAAAAAAAATTAACTAGGCTATGAACATTCTTAACATGATTAAAGTTGAGTGGTCACATAAAAATAATAATTATTGGTGTTTACCTGTCTGGAGTGAAAGAAAAAGAAGGAAACCCAAGACTCAGAGAAGGAGTCCGTTTATAGGACTAAATGTTGACCATGAACCATGGCCTTCTCTATCCTGAGACCAGAAGAACTACACTGTGCCCAACTATCACTATAATCATTCTGATCAGGACCACAATAAATGGATCCTGATAGAAAGTGAGGAAAAAGTGGATTAGAACTTCAAATCTTCAAAACTACCCAGACGTAATGAACCCGCTGAGACAGGAGGAACTCTGGAGACTTCTACCCTGAGCTAGTCTTTAAGCCAGTGGTGGGAAACGTTTGGTCCATGGGCAGATAAGGTCTGAAAAATCATTTGGTCTGGCTCTGCCAAGGCAACTGTGGTTCCAGCCATCACATTAGGGATAAGTTAATTAAATGTTTGACCAAACAAACAAACAAACAAAAAACAGGCTAATTTTCAAGTTAATAATTTTGTAAGGTCCACAAATGATTTATAAAAGTTCCCCACCCCTGCTTTAAGCCTTGACCTGAAGTATCCCAAGTCATCTTTTTAGCTAAACAGTAGGTTAGGTCATCAAGTAATGAACATCCCCTAGTACTATTGCCCTGAGGTAGTCTTTAAGCCTCAAACTAAAAATAGCCACTGAAGACTTCTTAAAATCAAACAAATATTTACTAATATGAAAAAGTCTGAAGGAACATTATGCTTTTTTAAAAACTCTCTATATGGGATCAGGAGTCCTGGTATGGTGCCGTAAGATAAGCACTGGACTGCAAGGTCCATTTGGACAGCAAGGCAGGCAGTTCAAACCCACCAGCCACTCCTCATAAACCTTATATAGGGTTGCTATGAGTCGGAAGCATTGGATGGCACTTAACAACATCAACATATGGGATCCAAGTGACAACAGCAACTCAGAAGATTAGGTAAGAAGCTTAGGGGCAGTGAGCTGATGTGAATAGAGGGAGAACTCAGAAAAGGGGGTGAGCATGGCTGAACAACTTGAAGAATGTAATCAGTGCCACTGAACTGTGGTGTCCAGTTCCACCAAAAATACAAAAAAAAAAATTAAATAAACAAAACAAAAAACCATTAAGGTTTCCAGTGGGGAAGAGAGCTGATATGAGTAATCTCCCTCCAAGTTGAAAGTCGTGTCCACCTAATCACGTGGCAGAGAAGATCTGAGAGGCTACCTCTTCTGAGTGGGCAGGTGAACCAAACAACCTCTAAGAGTCTTGCAGTTCAGCTGATGTGGAGTTATAACATTAGTCATCATCCCTCCATGCTTTGGTTTTTAAAGCACTCCCACAAATTGAGCTCATTTATCATCCTAACTACCATCACAAGGCAGACAGGGTAAGAGAGGATGAGCCTGCATTTGGACTTCTGGTGTGGCGCTGTAGTAGGATTAGCACTGGACTGCGAACCACAACTGCAGCAGTTCAAACCCACCAGCTGCTCCTCGGAAACCCTCTACAGGGTTGTTATGATGGCCCTTTAATAACAACAGTGGAGAGAAGGGAAAGCTCTGCTTACAGTGATGAAATAGAGACTCAGGGAGGCTAAATTACTAGCCCAGGGTCAGGATCTCCAAATTTCCAAGTGTGTTTTGTTTGTTTGTTTCTTTCATTCTGTGTAACTCTCCTTCAGCCAGGTTTTCCTTTGGCCGTAAGTCTCTGTGGTCCATGATGTGTCAGTATGGAGCATGTGCTAACAGAAAACCTAAAGGCTGTCCCCAGGACCCCAGTTCTCTCCTTACCAAGGTGCTTCTGCAGGAAGGCCAACATGGCCCGAACCACAATCTCTTGACCTTCATAGGGGTCCAAGCTTCCACGGGTTTGAGAGGAGAAGAATTTACCAAACACATTGTTAGTCACAAAGGCAAAGTCAGTTTGACTCCGATGAACAGAACCACTAGAACCAAAGAAAAACAAATAACTGGTAGTGTTCAGGGGCTGGGGCACACACATTAGTTAAGCACCTCGTATGTATGGGCAAAGATGTCCTCCTGGTGGAACAGTGCTAAAGGACTTGGCTACACCCCCAACAGTTGCTCGCAGGAGAAAGATGTGGCAGTGCTTCCATAGAGTTGTATTGTTGTTAAGTGCCGTGGAGTCCGTTCTGACTCCTGTACAGGGCTTCCAAGGCTGTAAATCTTTATGGCAGCAGAAAGTCTCATCTTTCTCCTGCAGAACAGCTGGTAGTGTTGAACTGCTGCTGACCTTGAGGTTTACAGTCCGATTTGTAGTCACTACACTACCATAGATTTACATCCTCGGAAAGCCTTGGGAGCAGTTCTACTCCATTCCACTAGGTCCCTGTGTGTCAGAATCAACTCCGCAGCAGTGGACTGGCTTTATTATACACAAGGTGCTTTCCACGTACCATTTCACTGGATTTTCACAACCATGTAAGGAAAGTATTTTCCCCTTGACATAGAGGAGTTTGAAGCTTAGAGAAGTGCAATGATCTGTCAGGGTCAAACAGCTAGTAAGTGATGGAGCTAGAATTTGAACCCAGGTGTCCCTGGTCTTCAGAGCTGACTCATTCCCTGGACCACACTGCCTGACAGTGCAGGGAAAAGGCTGAGTCAGCTGCACAGGGACAGGGACATGAGGGGAGGTCTGCCATTCCTACACTGTTATGGCCTATTACACCACGGCTGCCTTCTGATGACTTCCAAAGAGTCACAAAACATCAACACATTAACTTCTACTTCTTCAGAGCTACATCATTAACAGGAAAAGGGGATCACTATCTCTTCTTTAAATAACCAGAGACTGAGTGCAAGTGCTCATTAAGGGGGTTTCTGGATTAGAACTTAGGTCCTTTGACATCATATCCACTGAATTTTCAGTGAAAGCCTGACTAGGTTTATTTGGGTTACATTTGTTGCTGTTGTTAAGTGCTGCAGAGTCGATTCTGACACATAGTGACCCTGTATAGGGTTTCCAAGGAGCAGCTGGTGAGCTTGAACTACCGACTTTGCAGTTCAAATGACTGCAGTCTGACGCATTAGCCCACAGTGCCACATCAGGACTCCCTTGTAAGTAATTTCCTTGTCAAGGAGCCATGGTGGCATAGTGGGGTACATGTTGGGTTGCTAACTGCAAGGTCAGCAGTTCTAATTACCAGCCGTTTGGAGGGAAAAAGATGAAGCTTTCTCTCCCCTAAAGATTTACAGCTTTGTAAACCCAATACAAAGGAGCTCTGGTAGCATAGTGGTTACGAATTGGGCTGTGAACCACAAGGTCAGCAGTTCGAAACTGCCAACTGTTTCACAGGAGAAAGATGAGGCGTTCTGCTCCTGTAAAGATTTACAGCCTCGGAAACCCTGTACAGGGTCGCTATGAGTTGGAACTGACTCCACGGCACACAGCCAACCAAACCCTACACAGGGTCACTATGAGTCAGAACAGACTTAATGGCCCTCCACTATTACCACCACCACCACCATATTTGTTAATTAAATGAGGAGGGGAAGTTTAAACGTTAAAATTCTTGTTTGATGTCATTCACAAAAACTGACTTAAAAAATGCGTTACTGGAATACTACGCAACGTGATGAGTAATGATGAATCTCACAATATGGATGAACCTGGACATTATGCTGAGTGAAACTGTTGTGGTTGTTAGGTGCCTTTGAGTCAGTACCGACTCTGAGTCAGTACCACCGTATCTATGTATAACAGAAGGAAACACTGACCAGTCCTGGGCCAACCCCACAGTCATTGCTACGCCTGAGCCCACTGCTGCTACCATTGTGCCAATCCATCTCACTGGGGTCTTCCTTTTATTCTCTGACCCTCCACTTTACCAAACATGATACCCTTCTCCAAGGACTGGTCCCTCCTGATAATATGTCTGAAGTATGAGAGATGAAGTCTGGCCATCTTGGCTTCCAAGGAGCACTCTGGCTGTACTTCCTTGAACATAGATTATTGGTTTGTTCTTTTGGCAGTCCATAGTATTTTCAATATTCTCCTTCAACCCCATAACTCAAATGCATCAATTCTTCAGTGGTCTTCCTTATTCACTGTCCAGCTTTCACATGTTTATGAAGTTATTGAAAATACCATGGCTTGGGTCAGGCACACCTTAGTCCTCAAGCTGACATCTTTGCTCTCCAACACTTTAAAGAGATCTGTGCAACAGATTTGCCTAATGTAATACGTCATCTGATTTCTTGACTGCTGCTTCCATGAGTGTTTATGGTTGATGTGAGAAAAATGAAGTCTTTAACAACTTCAATCTTTTCTCCATATATGTGGACGTTATTTACTGGTCCAGTGGCGAGGGGTTTTGTTTTCTTTACATTGAGATGCAACTTATACCGAATGCTGTGGTCTTTGATTTGATTGGTTAAGTATTTTAAGTCCTCTTCACTTTCAGCAAGCAAGGTTGTATCATCTGCATACTGCAGGTGTTAATGAGTCTTCAAACCTAAATCTTTCAACAAACTGATGTGGCACTGGAGGCACTCACTCATCTTTGCCAAGAAATTTGGAAGACAACTACCTGGCCAACTGACTGGAAGAGATCCGTATTTGTGCTTATTCCAACAAGAGGTGACTCAATGGAATTGATATCCCATGCAAGTTTAGTTTTACTAAATACAAAAATGGCTGCAAGCATACATTGACATAGAACTTCCAGAGGTTCAAGCCAGATTCAGAAGAGGACATGGAATGAGGGATATCACTGCTGACATCAGATTGATCTTGGCTGAAAGCAGAGAACACCAGAAAGATGTTTACCTATGCTTTACTGACTATGCAAAGGCTTTCGATTGTGTGGATCATGACAAGCTATGGACAACATTGCGAAGTATGAGTATTCTGGAACACTTAATTGTGCTTACAAGGAACCTGTACATAGGCCAAGAGGCAGTTGTTCAAATAGAATAAGGGAACACCGAATGGTTTAAAATTAGGAAAGGTGTGTGTCAGGGTTGTATTCTTTGACTATAGTTATTCAATCTATATGCTGAGCAAATAATCTGAGAAGCTGGAATTATATGAAGAAAAATGTGGCATCAAGATTGGAGGAAGACTCATTAATAATCTGTGGCATGCAGAGGATGATGAAATTAGTCAATCACAAAAACACAAATATTGTTGAGACCAATGTTGTAAAAAATTAAGAAAAGGTTTTTTTAAATAAAAGAAACAATCTATGATGGTTATGGGGGTGAGGATAGAGGGAAAATTATTCACAGACTAGAGGGTAGACATGTGTTAACATGGGTGACAGGGCAGGCAATATACAACAAGAGGGAGGTTAGCAGAGAAATGAAGGAAGCAGGAGACACAGGGAAGAATGTAGTAGTTAAACAGAGGTAAATACTGTTAACTGATGGTACATGGAGTAATCATTGCAATGAAGTAACATATATAATTTGCTGAGTGTAAAACTGCTGATGTACTCTGTTTATAAAAAGCAAGTCATGAGCAGCCATCTAAGGTGCAACTACTGGTCTCTCCATGTGCAGAGGAAAGAAAAGTGATGACAATTGAAGACGCTTACAATCAGTTAATCCAATGGACCAATAGAACATGTGAACATAAGTCTCCACCACGATCCTGAGACCAGAAGAACTAGATAGTGCCCAACTACTCCAACTGCTCTGAAAGGGGTCACATTAGAAGGTTCCAGCTACAGTGGGAGAAAAAAATGGAAAAACCCCTGGAAATCCTACAAAAGACTGGGCTTTCCGGTCAGAAATAAACCGGAGGAACTTGAGACTATGGACCTTGGCTACTCTTTAGGTCTGGCACAGAACTCATTCTCACTGTCCAATCTTCAGTCAAGCAGTAGATAGGTATATAGAGGAGACGACAACACTAGTAGGATATGTTCACCATGGAATGGTCAACCATTCAAGATCAAAAGGGCATCATTTATGAAAGGACAAAGTTGAGAAGAGCTGAGAAGGTGGGTGGAAAGGAAATAAGAAGCATGGGGAAGAAGTGGGTAAGTGCTGTTGCCTGGGAGGGATTGCACTCATTGAGATTAAATAAAGTGCAGGATTTGTTGACTGTTAAACTGATCATCTGCTCTATAAGCTGTCACTCAATTCACAATAAAAAGTTTATGTGCCTTAAATAAGGCACGTAAAAAGTGTACAGAATAATCTGATGGTGTGGTGTAGTGAATGATTTACTATGTCTTTTCTAGCCTTACTCTTCCTAACTCCCACCAAACAACTCTTTTCCTAGTGGGTCTGGGTTAGAGGAGATACTGAAAGAATGACATGATTCTGCTGTGGATGTTAACAGAGTTCATTATAACTGAAATAACCTGAAACTCCAGCATGGGTATAAAAGAAATCATCTCAAGAAGCAGAATGAAGGATCTCACTACCATCAGAGAATAGTGATAAGTGGAGGAGTCATTTGGATCTCGAGATCGCTGTGTACTGAATCTCCTGGACCAGGGACAGAAAGCTGAGACACTGGAGAAGTGGGCAGAGGAGCAGCAGCAGCAGAACCAGGAACCAGAGCACGAGACAGAGCAGTGGGCTTCCCTGCCCATGGAGCAAGTCAAGCTGAGTGACTTTGGGCAAGAGACTTGCTTACAGAGCAGTGTCTCCAGCAGGTAATTGGGCAACTAAGGTTTGCTGACCCACAGAGTAGAGCCAAGTGCCTTTAGACTGAGGCTTATGGAAAAGTGGTGTGTTCTGTGGGCATGTATTAGCAGTCCTAAAAGAGCTTTGTTGTCCAGGCAGAAAGACATCTAGCTGTGGCCATGGCTGAGGAGAGGCTACCCTGGCTGGAACAACTGTGTCCTGAGCACTTCTGACCCCAAATTGTAACCTGTACACTTCCCTAACAAACCCTGTAACTGAGTATGGTGTCTGAGTTCTGTGGGGTCACTGCAATCAATCATTGAACCCAGCTGAGTAGAAAGTGCTA